CATGGCAGAGATTGACTGTACCCGTGTTCAATGTAGCAGACGCACGAGTCGCGAAGTTGAGGATCGACCATATCCTAAACTATGTTTTCTACACTGAGGGCAAGCGCCGAGCGCCGCAAGGAGTCACGGTACCAGCTTCATTGTTCTTGGAGACGGTGGAAGGACTGGACCTCGCGCGAGAGAGCCCAGGCAATTCCAACATGGATGTGGAACGCTTGGAGCGCCTTTACGAATCGGAGGACGACGATGTGGGCGAGGGCACCAGCCTAGAAGTAGATACGGCACGGTCGACAAGTGCAAAACGAGCACGGGAGGCCGCTCCGATTGTTCAAGGTGAGGCGCGCCTCGAGGCTCTTCGACAACGCCTTGAGGACGATCCCAATATGGTACGGGATATCGACCAGCTAATCGCTCTCCGCCAGGCCAACGTGCGTTCAAGCAACACTACCGCTCTAGTGACGACCGCAGGACTCAATACAAAGGCGCAGTTCAAACCGAGTCGTCAGCAAGTGCTGGCACACGGTCTGCTGGTCGATGGTAAGTAAGTCGAAAGAGTTCGATTATTTGCCACACCCTGGATCTGCACGAGGATTTTTCGGCTGGGATTTTGATTTTCGTGGACTCTCCTTGATGCATTTCTCCCCAATGGATGTGGACGAAGAGCGTGAATTTCGTCGCCGACACGACATGACCGACTTTTCCGCCAAGAACAAGCTCCCAGAGCCTCCAAAGGCTAAGGACATTGCTGACATCTTAGCTGCGCTGGAGGTGCTGTCACTGCTTGTGAATGAGCTGTACCAACCAGTGGTAATGGACCTAATCGACAGTGCGAGACGATTTCTGCTGGGGTTACGGAAGACGAAGTCCATGACAGGACCAGAGGCCGTCCCAGAATTGGTGGCATGGATTGACGACTGTTTTGAGCAATTCCGATCGTATCTCGTGCGTCAAGACCTGGTGGCGGCGGCGGACGTGAAGATGGGCTTTCAATTCAACAGCGAGTCTTACGCCCGGGTGGTGCATCGTGTGACGAACCTGAGAGTCGAGGCAGCGACGAGAGCACCCCCTCGAAGAACCGACACTCGACACAGAGGAGCTCAGCGCAAGACGAAGGGCGCTCACCAACCCTCAATCATCCCGGTTCCTCAAGCGGTTGTGGCGGCTTTACCTATCCGGAAGGGGAAAAAGCTCTGCGTGAGATTTTTGTCGGTAGACGGTTGCCCTGGTGACGGCGACACCTGTGTGTACGACTATCGAGGTCATTTCGTACCAACAAGGCTACCAACGATTGTCAAAACGTTTATCGCCAAGGCTTACGGTGGGATGCGAGCTACCAGCTCAGAGAAAGAAGAGGGGGCCACAGACGCGTGAAGGTGCCATGAAACAGATCGGGAAGCGTCTCGTTTCAGGCCTGAACAAAAGCCCCCACCTGCCGTTTTGTCGGTTCGCCCCGGTTGTCTCTCCGTCCCTGACAGCCCCAAATTATCTCGAGAAGTTTCTGGGCTCAGGCGTGTACGCCCGAGTTCCGATAGTGCACCGATTCCGGTCGGCGGAAGCACGAATGGTCCTGTCGTGACCCACGCCCCGTGTTCGGCGTTGATCAGCCGCTGCAATACACTTGCAGGCAGGTAGTTTGCCTCAGGGTGGCCACACATCACTCTCCAGGCGTCGAGGTGCCGCTGCACGACGAATGCAGGCAGGTTGTTAGCTCCGTCGAGGCTACCAGCCACTTGCGGGGCGTTAAAAAGCCACTGCAAGACGGTTGCAGGCTGGTTGTGTGCCCTGACAAGGTGGATGACCACGGTCAAGAAGTCGGTATGCCGCTGCAAGATCAGTGCAGGCAGGTAGTTTGCTCGGAGGTGGTCAAACGTCCGGTCCAGTGTAAAGCGGATCGGCCTCGGAGCAGACAACAGGCTACAGAATCAAGGGTGGTCCTGGCACAAAATCTACATTCGCACATGGAAGCTCTGCAGCGACAGTACGCGTCAACCTTGCGAGCCCGGGAGTGTTTATTTTCCTTGCAGCAGGACGCCGCCGACTCCAACTTGAGGACGCTGCTGGCCCACTACGGAATTACACCTCCCACTGCGAGGCCATCCTTCGTTCTGAAGAAGGGAGTCCAAGTTTTCAGGATCGACAGGGCAAAACAATCTGCTTACAGCGAGCTACTACGGAAATCAAGAATGCGACTGCCGGATTTAATTCGCATTGTGCGCGGAGAAACAAGTAGCGACCCCCGCCCAAACAAAGCCTTGAGCGTACCTGATCAGCTCCCGTGCTGGAAGTCATACCAATACAAGGACGAGTGGCGTGATATCGTCACACATGGAGTGCGACCAACATGGAAGAATGAGTTTCCAAAGCAAACAAGGCCACCCAGAACCATGGATCAGCCTTGCCAGCTCTAAATGTTGTGATCAAAAGCCTTCGAAAAGGCCAAGATGACAATAGATACCTGATCTTGGACATCAATTTGCTACCACTACTCGAAGGAGTCACCTGCAGCCCGTTCGGGGCGGTACCAAATGGAGAAGCCGACCTGAGCGTGGATGGTCGGGTGATACACGACCTCTCCTGTCCGAAGGGCACCTCGGTAAACGACCAAGTGCAAGATGAGCCCACCATAACTGTCACGTATGATGGAGCTGCAGTGTTAGCCCAACGGATATTGGATGTCGAGCAAGAATTTCCTGGTTTAGCTCGAATGGCTACAGGGGATGTAGCTGGTGCATTTCGCAATATTCCGCTTGCAGCAGAGGCGGCCTGCCGATTTGCAGGGACTTTGCCTGAACTCGGCATTCTGGTGATCGATTTATCATGTCCCTTTGGGTGGTCAGACTCTCCACGGCAGTATTGGTCTGCAGGAGGGG